GATCAACTCTCACACAAAGAAGGGTATCCTCACACCTCATGTCAGTGCACTGGGATGGGTTGGTGGGAGATGGGTGCAGCAGAAGGAGCTTCTCAGGGGAACACGCCCCACATAGCCCTCCCAAATCCTTTGGCTGCCTCCAGCCCGCTCCAGCTCTGGGAGCAGCCAGGGCCATGGGCTGGGGAGTCCCACGAGGGCTCCCTTCATGCCCTCTCCTCTCCCCACATGGGTAGAGGGTGCTCTGTGGCCTCCCTGTTCTAGGGCTGCCACAGGGCAGAGATCATTCCCTGCACCCCTGGCTGCCAGTCCCAGCCCTGTTACCCACCAGGCCTGAAAGAGCTTGAAAGGGCAAGAAGACTGGGGGGACGGCCTCAGCCCCACTCCCTGCCCCTCTGCTGTGCTTAGGGACGGGATACGAGCAGCTTTTGGCACAGCACAGCCCAACTGAGGAGAGTTCCCAAAGGGTTAATCCACAAGACTTCCCGCATCCAAGCAACTGCCTACGGCCCTGGCTCCTGCCCAAGAGGAACACCATTGCTAACATGCCTCAAGTCACTGCCGGCCCAGACAGCTCCTCCGTGACAAAGGTGACACTGTGATGGAGGCCAGGCCCTCTGCTGCGTGTCCCACCATGCCGGGCTCTGCACAGCGGTGAACAGAGCCACGGGCACAGTCTCCACCCCATGTCCTCCTCCCTCCCATCCAGCCCTGAAGACAACAAGGCTCTCACTGCGGCTCAGGCTCCCGGCACTACAGTCTGGAGGGGTGCGTGGGAACAACCCCAAGCAGCAGCCAGCCCTGGCTGTCACAAGGGCTGGTCACCGCACAGTCAGCAGGTCCCACGCTGCTTGCATTGCACTGGAGTCAGGTCACCCCCGGGCACGGCTCTGCTGCTCCGACCCGGCCACCAGCGATGCAGGAGGTAAGCAAGCCCATCACAAGCACCAACACAGCCAGCCAGTAACTCAGCTTCAGCATCATTGACATTAATCAGCTAAGTGCTGACAGAGGCTCTGCCCATGAGGCTGGGGCTCCGACTGGGTCATTTAAGGACCTACCTAGAAACCAGAGCATCCCAGTGACTAACTCAGGTCACAATGCCTCAGCTAAACGCCAGGGCATCCCGCTGAGAATTAGTGACAGCCACATTAGGCTGGGATCAATCAGTCTGCACCGTGGGGCAGACATGAAGTGACAGCAGGTGACGGCAGAGGGGACCTTACGGTGAGAAGAGGGAAATCCTGCTTGGCTACGGAGCATCCCAGCTCCCATCAGCTCCTTGAAAGCAAACTTCTTGACACGTTAGCAGCTGTGGTATCTCCTAGAGGCGCAGGTAGAAGGGCCCACTGTGGCACATCCTACCTGGCTGTGCTCCTGCTCGCTTCCCTGTGTGGCACTGCAAGGACTCGGGGGCAGAAGGCTCATGATAAAACTGCTTCACCCCACGGAGCAGGCAGAGAAGGGAGGCCAGGAGGCACACCCTGACGTGAGTCCTCTCCCCTCAGAGTCTGCGAGGGCAGGATGTGGGAAGCAGCAGGTCCCCCCTTCACTGTTATAAGCCACCAGAAAAAAGGCAGACTGGTCATCCAACAAACCTCTGCAGTGCTGCTGCTGCTCATCAAAGGCTTGGAAAGCCTTCACAGAGGCATTCAACTCATGCCTTACAAGTGACTGGATAAAAGATGCTGGCTTCACGTCAACGCATGCACACAGCCAGGAGAAAAGGACTGGTGCAGCTGAGCTACCTAGAAATACCCATTCTCACTGCCCCTTTTTATCAGATCTGTTTCAAAGGCAGGCTGAGCTTTCAGTGCCATCAAAGGACAGGGTAGGGCAGCGAAACAGAGTCCCAGCTCATGGAGCCTCTTCAGCAGTGGCAAAAGCCCTGCAGCCCAGAAAGGGGCTGAGAGTGCCCGTCAAAGACACTGCCTGGGAAATAAGAGAGCAAAGTGAGGGGATGAGTTGTGAGGGGTGCTTGTACCTCCAGGGAGCTTTCTCCTGCATGGCTGAGGCCTGAGGAGAGCTGGCACAGGGGCACCATGAGCTGGGGCAGGAGGCCAAGCTCCTCAGCTTCAGCCAGCAATCAGAGGGCCATGGTGGGGAGGGGACTCAGCCAAGGAAGGGTATTGCCTGGTGACCACCCTTCGAGTGGGCTGGGAGCCTTTTATCACTCACATGGTTCAGACAAACAAAGCCTTACCTGCTCTGGCCCCGTCCCAGCAACCTTTCTAGTAGGCTCAAGTCAGCCAGACGTGCTGCACTACTGGTAGGAATCCCAGCCAGCACCCAGGCGGTGCAGGGGAGCGAGGTGACCACTGTGCCATCCCACCAGGCCCTTGACAGGCCACGCCAACAGGTACAAGGGCCAGAAACACTAGCAGACTCCCATCAGTGCTGCCTGAGATGCTTCTGTATCCATGCTCCTCCTCTGGGAACTAACCTGGTCCCTGGAGAAGGCAGTGAAGAGCGTCAGGAAGCCCTTTGAAACTCCACCTGGCAGTAGAAGTCCTTGGATTTCTGGCGGCAGCCGAAGAACAAGCAGTTCCCTGCAGAGAGCAGACCAGAAGGGCCATGGTGGTTGGAACAAATGTCCTGTGAATGTTGAGGGCCATTGATGCCCGTGGGACTTGCAGCAGAGCTCCAAAGCTCTCACCTCTTTGCCAGACCTGAGCTCCCACTCAAATACAGCAAAGCGTAGGCCTGTCCAAACTCTCAGGAGTCCCCAGTCCCTCCTTCCCATATGCTGAACACAGACCGGCCTGCATCAAGGGGCATCCTGAGTCCGCCCACGGGACCACCCCTCACCTCTACGTCCTTGTGCCACTCGCTCCTGTATCGCTGCTCGGAAAGGTGCCACTCCTGTGCCAGGGCCAATCATGATCACAGGGGTGTCAGGGTCAGCTGGGAACTTCATTCCTCCTTTCTTCACCCAAAGAGGCACCCGGACATCACCTGCAAAATAAACAGACCAACTAGCGTCACCCCACCACCACTGCACCTGTAACACACCCTGTAGAGGGCCAGCCAGACATCCAGCTCTTCCAGGATGCTCTGAAGATACTGACGGCACCTGGCTTACCACCACCCCAGCACCAAGGCTCTCCTGGTGCCATGGGCATGCTATGCCTGTATGAAAAGTGCTTCAGCTGCCTCAGCACTGTCTCTGCAAGCACTTGAGTGAATGCCAGAGCAAGGCGAGAGCCCTACAGGACATGGGCTGTGGGACAGCATTCCCCTCACACAGCTGGTGCCAGGGAAGACAGCAGTGGAGGCAAGCAGAGTTTTCAGCCTGGCTGCTGAGTAAGGGAGGTCCAAACTTGCCTCCTCTGGGAGCCAGAGGAGGGGTGAAGATCCCTATCTAGGTATTCTGAGAAGACTCAGTCTTGCCCTGAAGTCACACAGAGCAATTCTCCACCATCCTGCAGCAGGAGACTCCATGAGCTTGTCACATTTGCTTGGGGACCCAGCTGGAGAAGTTCTGTGGTTAGAGCAGATAAGCAGCACACAGGCTTCACAGGACAGGATGGACGTGCTGCAAGGAAGGACCATCTTTCCCAGAGCTGTGCTATGGGGCTGGAGGTGTCCAGCAGTCAGAGCACTACCAGCTCCGGGACACCAGCAACAGCCCACTGTGGGGCAGCAGGACACCCTGGCACCAGGGGCAGGAGGGTTGAGCAGCTGGTTTTCTCCAAACCAGGAGCTCAGGGTGCTCAGGGAAAGCTGGAGGAGCACATTTTGCTCTGAAGAGGATGAGAGCAGCGAGGAAGGATGGTTACTGTGAGTTCAGCCTGTCCTGCCAAGCCAGTGTGCTCCAGCTCCCCGTGGTGGTGCTGCTCCATCCAGGCTCCAAGCAGCTCCAGCACATGGCCAGCACATACACAGCTCCACCACAGTCCCATGGGATCAGCTCCCTGTGCTGAGTCCAACCAATTACCTTGCTCTGGGTTGAGAGAAGCCAACCAGGTAGAGCAGAGACCACGGCGGGGTTTGCTGAGCCGCGTCTTGTACCGCACTACTGCCATGAGGATCTGGATCCGGTCAGGGTGAGCCTGTGTCCAGACAGGAGTCATCAGAAACATGACAAATGTGAATACAGCCAGCACGGCTCTGCAGGAAGAGCCCAGTGCCTCCTTCAGGGACAAAGTCTGTGCCCAGCTTCTCACAGGGCACCTACAACACTCATCCTAGCCTGAAACAGCCAGACACACCATAGAGCACACCCTTGCCCAAAACCTTTCCAATAGGAAAAGGGAGGGTTTTCCCAGAGAAGCACTGCTGTGGGAATGCTCTGCACTGCTGGCAATAGCAACAGAGACTGTTCAACCCAAGAGGCCCCCATGGAGGACGAATGCCACTCGTTCATGGGCTGACATCTGCCAAGTCAGCCAGGCCAGGTCCCACTGCCACCTCCTGGCAGCAGCAGGAAGCAGCACTCCCCCTTCCCACGGCAACACCACTCGGGGATGCTTCTGGCCTCACTGGCACCACCTCCCACTGCTCCCTGTAACGAGGACACCAGACCTCTGCAGTGCACTGGGCCAGCCTCAGCACTTGCAGGGCTGCAGGAGAGCAAGTGCCCTAATAGGGAGCACAGACCTGACACAGACCTGGAGTTAACACCCAGCGGTTCAGCCTGCTACATGCTCACAGCAGAGGTTTGGGTGAGCTATGGGTGCTCAGAGGGCCTGGGAGCACAGCCTGAACATCCGTGGCATGCACAGCATCAATGGTCACAGCTCCAGCCCTGCCAGACCCTCAGCTCAGAGCCTGCCACGAGCCTGAAAAGGGCTGAGCTCTTACCAGCATGGAGGAGGCGATGGAGAAGGCGCGGGGTCTGATGCGAGGGATGAGGTCCAGCAGGTATTCGGGTGGAATGGCACACGTGGTCTGAGGGAAATCCCAGAGAGCCTGCAAAGCCAACGCAGGGTGAGACCTGATGCACCCCAGAAGGGAGCCTGCCTGCTTCTCAGGGTGTCAGAGGCTGTCCCACACTGCTGGGCAGTGCTGTGCTTGACCGAAGGCACCACAATGGGGACTTAGGAGCAACCACTCTCTCACTCCCAGGCTGCAGCACAGTGGGGCAGAGCCCAGAAGGATTTGGAACAGGTCTTTACCACCAGTGGAAAGCCAGGGACACTTCAGAAAGTGGATGAAGTAGATTAAATTCTTCAGCCAACAAATGATGGCTGATCATCTCCCTGGGTGCTTTATGCCACGGCACAGCCCTCACACCAGCCTCACCTCGAGTGTGGTCCTGCGGGGCCGGTTGCAGTAGCTGTACAGCTCTTCCTGGCCCTGTGCAGAGCTGAACTCCTGCAGCTTCTCCCGCTCCAGCTCATTCGTAGAGAAGTAGGACAAGAGCTCGAAGAAGGAGCGCCGTGGCACACAGGAGATGTCCAGGTAGTGGGTGACCAGGTGTCGGATGGTGCAGGGCTGCGGCAACAGGGCAGGGAGGGAAACGCCTGCAAGGCAAAGCAGTGGGGAGAACTCAGGGTCAGCACCTGGGCTGGGTGCCCAAGCACCACCTGCCTGCTTCCCCTGCAGCTCTGGTGCTTCCCAGGCACCCAAACAAGGGCAGCCCTGCTGCCTGCAGGCACCCACACATTGTATGAACATGCTAGTGGAGCCTACTTTAGCTGCTGCTATCGTTGCTCCCACCATGGGCCCCCATTCTCTCCTGCTCCCCAGTTTGCTTTTCAAAGCCCAGAGGTTTGAAACAGAGAAAGTCAGTGTCGAGCTGTGCCTTACTTGATGCAAGTGTTTCAGGACAAGGCCTCATCCATATGGGCCCTACCTTGCCCACACAATGCAGTGGAAATAACCAGCAGTGTCATATGTGCCAGGCCTGCCCTTGTCTCCTACATCTCTCCCAAGGGTGTGAGAAGCAGCCTGAATTTCTCTTGGGTTTGCCTACCAGGCAAAAATCCCAGCACTGACAGACACAGCAAAGATGAAGGGGGAAGGGGCACTCAGGGGACAGGAGAGAAAACTCTCCCAGTACCATGTAGACTGCAGAGCCTCCAAGGGCTCCAAGGGGTTTCTCTAGTTGTTGGTGCTTGCTTGTGGTTGCAGAAGGACCTGTAGTAGGTCCCTGGGGTGCAGGCAGAGTGAGGAGACCTGCATACCCCAGGAGAGGAAGCGCAGGCTTCCCAGCTCGTGTCTTGGGCTGGGGAGGGTGCAGGATCCTCCACATTTCATACTAGGGGCTGCAAAGACACAAGGCATGGGTGCAGCCTGGACACTGCTGGGTCACTCCAATGAGTCACACTGGCCCTAGTGTGGGATCCACACACACAGAGCGCTGGAAAGAAAGGAGAAGCCCCCATGCTGTGAGACAGGCAGAGGTCCTGTACTCATCAGCTACTCCAAGCTCCCTATTAATTGGGTTTGCAGCAAAGAAAAAGCAGAGCTGGGCCAGGGTTCAGGAGCTGCTCTGTTCCAGCAGGGAGGGAAAGCAGCAGTGGGCAGGACCTACCAGGCTCTGAGGGCTTCAGCACAAAGCGTCTGTCTGGATCCAGGCGCAGGAGCTGGCAGAACTGCTGCACGTCTTCGGGGCAGTTCTGGGGCTGGATCATCACGACGTCTCCCGCGCTGAACCTGTGGGTGCAGCAGGACCTGTCAAGGGCAGCCATGGGGCAGGCCCACGGGCACAGCCCTGCCAGCCCGACCACCACCCGCACCAAGGCAGAGGCCACAGCTCAGCCATATCTTCACTAACGTTACACATCCTAACCTGACAAGGCAAAGCGAGGTCCACAGGCAGGATCCACACTGCCATACACCCCTGACTTTAAACTGGAGGGGAACAGCGCAGCAGGGACCAAGTCCACAAGGCTGCAGTCTCAGATACTACTGAGGAAGGGGAGTGGAAGAGGAAGGCAGGCTATGGGACACTCAGTCCCACACAGCAAAGCTTAGGGGAGGCAGGAAAATGCTCACGTGATCCCTGAGCCCGTGACATCGAACTCGATGAGCCGGACATCCTGGAAGTGGGATTCTGCTGTGACCCGCTGATTGGACACCATCCGGGCAGCGAAGGGGTGCAGCTCCGAGGGAAGAGCCCGGGGTGCTGTTGGCTGCAGCAGGCCACCATCAGGCTCCGGGGAGTCCTCAGCCAGGTAGTGCAGGGTGTATTTTGGGGGTAGGCTGTGGGGAAGAGAGCAATGCAGTGTGGTTACCTCCACGCCACAGCTTCTCTGCTGCTGTAGCACTAAAGGCTGGAGGTGGGGAGAGGGCTGAAGTCTCCCACTGTATCCACCACCCATTGTCCCTGTCCTCTGGAGCTGGCCTGTGGTAAGGGAATGCACTACAGGCTGCCAGGAGGAGGACATCCCAACGGCTCCAGAACAGGCAGAGGGAGGCTGGCTGGGCACACGCACTCAACAGGTCTGCCAAGGGCAGAGGCACATCAGGACAGCAAGAGGGGCAGAACCCTGCCAGGACAGCTGACACACACACCCAGGGGCCAAGGGGACAGAGAGAGGTGGGCCACCTGTGGCCAAAGTCCAAGGGATACTTGGGACACCAGAAGCTGTGTGGGGAGGCTTCCCGGTCAAAGCAGAGCATATCTCTGCCTCGGAGAACAGCCAAGGACGCATGGCATTTCATACCAGCCAGCTTCAGCAGTCCTTACCTACCCTCTGCACTCACCATACATCTGGACTGATGATCTCGAGGCCAGGAGGGAGAGGATACAAGGCGAGGATCTTGTCCCATAAGGCCAGGAGCCATGGATCAATCACTGCATCCGGCCTGCAAGTGGGAAAATTGGGCTGTAGCAGAGCAGCATCATCCCCTCAGGCTCAAGCACTGTTACCCCTGCACCTGAACAACGCTGGGCTGCCCCTGGGAAACCACCTCTGCTCCCCTTTCACTGCACAGTCACCCTGTGCTGTTCCCTTCCAGATTCAGATCTGGAAACACATCTCAGCTGCTCTCACACTCACTTGCTCTCTGGGTTTCAACCACTGAGGTCTGAACAGAACCACCAACTCCCCAAACACAACCAGTGGCAGTCATTGACCCCTCAAAGCCACACACAGCCCCATGTGAGGAGAACAGTGGCACAGTGCAGGCTGCTGTAACGCCTGCAGGTACATGGCTGTGTGACACAGCTGTCCCCTGGCCTCAACAGAGCCAGAGACACATTGGCACTTGCTGGGGGTCATGGGGTACCAAAGAAGCAAGTGACCCAAGTCCTAACACAGGAATTGTAAGTAGAGACCAGCATGTTCACAGAGTGCAGCAGGAGGCTGCTGGCCATGTCTGGGGCGCAGATGGCAGAGCCAGCAGACGCTTCTGTCCCCAGGGCTGGGGTAAAGCACACACAGCCCTGCCATTGGCCCAAGGACAAAGCTGTATCACACCCCAGGGCTCCCCACACTGCCACCCCTCCACCAGGCTCTTACCCCAAGTCATGCTGGTCATCTCCCAACGCCACGGGCAGCAGAGGGTTGCCTCCAAGCTGTAGCACCCGCTTGTGCAGCTTCTTCGCAACAAAATTAAACCTGAGCAGAGAAAACTGCAGCTGCAGAGGGCAGGGCTCTCCAGCAGGACAGCAGGTGCTGGCGACATGAGCCAGCACATGCTGCCAGGGCCATGCAGCACAGAGGCAGGTGCAGCCAGAGCCAGCACACACAGTCTGTCCCTGCACCCTGCCCAGTCCACACCACCATCCTGGGGCAGCTCGGAGAAGCAGCTGGCTGACACTTGCTGGGCCACACAGGCTGTGCCCAGCTACCAGAAGGGATTCAGGGAGGTCCAGCTTCCCTTCAGGGCAGCTTGTGCTTCAGGCAGAGAAACACTTCCTTCCCTCTCACCCCTCACTGCCCCACGGAGCTCGGGCACGCTCCATTCCTCCCATTAGAGCTCTTTTGGGAACATGGGAACAACATTTTGGGAGAGAACTGGGACCAAAAGAGCTGGCTGTCACATAAAACTCCGTTTCATGTCTCCTGTTGACTTGGCCCACCGAAATTGCTGTGGCACAGGCTTTCCAGCAATTCAGAGAGAGAACTGCATGGCTGTAATAACTGACCAGGAAACAATGTCCCAGACACTGCAGCAAAGCATCTGCTTGAAGAGGCTGGGAGGCAAGAAATGGGCAGAAGCTCAATCCCTAGGGGTTAGGAGGGACACGGGCTGGCAGGGCAAGGATTTTTAAGGCTGGTGGGAATTATGTTTTGTCTGAGCTGCTGTTCTAGAGCCAGGCACTGTCTCATCTTGACCCTTTTGCTCCCCAGCCACTCTGCTCCTGCCTGCAGCCAGAGTGGCTGTCACAGGCAGGCAGGGAGCCACAGAGCTGCTTACTTGGGATAGGAGGAGTCGCCAAGGCCCAGCACGGCGTAGTCCAGCTGGCAGAGGGAACTGGGAGGCAGGTTCTTCCGGAACAGAAACCGCCAGAACATCTACGAAGGACATGGCCAGGGAGTCACACTGCTGCCAAGGCCTTCCCTGCCTGCCCACCCCCAGCTTCACTGCAGGTCCCCCTTGCCCTCTGCTGAGTCCCAACAGACCACCACTGCTACCTGCCAGGAGGATGATGCTCTGTGAGCCCTCCACAAACCCATCTCTTGAGATGGCGGGGCCCCTCTCAGATCTTAAGCTCCTAAAACCTCACCAGCTTCCTGCCCGTGTCACATCAGTAACGCCAACTGTGACTGGTGCTGCTCCAAAGTTGCCCACTCCAAAAATAACCATTGCTCAGGGCTTCTTTGAGAGAGAAATCCAGTCACTGGACCAGAAATATAAAACCAATGTGGACAGGAGCGCGTCTTACCTTCATGTTGTCAGGTGGGTCACCCTGCCCGGTGGTTGCACACACAAATACCACCAGCGGCTCATTGATGAGGTTGGCCTGTGGACACAAACATAGAAAGGCACATTCAGAGCAGCAACGTTCAAACACAAATTCCAGCTGTCCTGACATGGCTGCTAACGTCACACTGAATTCATAGACACACAGGATCAGGATAAAACCCACAGCCTGGTGGCACAGCCTCCTCTATGTGCACTTGCAGCAGCATCGGCTCCTGGGTGCTCCTCACCTCGCAGGGTATGGCTGAGCGCCTCACACGGACGCTATCCCAAGGGTCACCACTCAGTTTTCACAAGTTTTTGGCTGGGTTATGCGCAAGTTGCTCTCAGGAAGGGCACAGAACCAGGGTTTAGGGAAATACAGATGGGGTTTGGGGAAATATAGCCAGGGTTTGAGGAGATACAGCCAGAGTCTGGTGAAATACAGCTAAAGTTTGGAGATACACTGCCAGAGTTTGCAGAAATATAGACAGAGTTTGGAGAAACGCAGCGAGATAGGTGAAATAGTGCCAGAGTTTGGTGAAATACAGCTGAGGTTTGGAGAAATACAGATGGGATTTGGAGAAATACATCCCGGGTTTAGGGAAATATAGCCGGGCTTTGGGGAAATACTGCCAGCACAGACATCAGTCAGGGTGGAGGATGCCCCAGTGCCAGAAAAGGGGTTGGTGTGAGACGGATCAAGACCTGGAGCCCCTCTTTTCCCCCGTCCCCACTCACCACATCGTACCCATCCAACGCCTCCACTCCGCACTGGAACCGCCG